TGTTGTTTTTGGGTGTCACAAAGTGATTGAGACACAAGTGTCCCCACAAGTGTACCCTAAGATCAATCATACTAACTTCAGCATTTGCTTGCAGGGCTTGCTTGCAAGGATATGCACACTTTGTACTGGTACATGAGAATTAACATTAGGACAGCATTACTAAGTACGGTATTCGAAGGCCAAGGAGTCAAAAGCTGGTAGGTGATCTCCAGGTCTTGCCAAAATTGCTGTCCAGCAATGTGGACGGGCTATACTCTGGAGGAAACTAAGACTCAGTTCAAACGGGGGTGTCAAAGATGGTCTCGATGGTTGATTGGAAGTATTGAGAGGCTGTCTTCACATTGCTGAAGGAATCCATGATGTACTCGCTGCCAAAACGAACGAGGAATTTTAGGTCAGCAGAAGGAAAGTGGCTGCTGCTGGAGTGATTCAGCAACAACTGGAGATACATGGAGTGCCTAAAAAAGGGATGATGGGACACTTGCAAATACCACATGGGAATGGTTCGCTTGTACTGCCAGCCACCCGTACAAAGCCATTGAGCACACGATACCAGTTTTCTGCGCAAATCGAGACCTAGTGAGAGGCGATTAGGAGGTGGGTTTCAGTAGAGGAGGCACGGGAACTCACCGAGGAGGGGGGTCAGAACCCTGTGCCTCGTCCAGCAATCCATGCAGCTCTCTGAACGACCTGGTCATGTTGACGGGATGACGAGCAAATTAGCCATCAAACGGGGAGAGAGGGGAAGGGTGGAGGGGAAAAGGTTGAGGAAAGGAGGGGGTTTTCTTAGAAAAGGAGGGGAAGGAGCTGGAGTATCTGATGGAAATAAGAAGCGAGGTTTGAAAATACCATTTTAATATGCCTCCTCACGGCTCATCCATTTACTTCCTACTCCCTTCCCTTCTCCCAATCCCTGCCCGATCTTCTTCCCCCTTCCCGCCCACCAGATGAGATCTGGCAGCGCTTCCTCCCCAGTTTTTGAGTCGACTGAAAAACACCCGTTCCCTGACCACAATTCTTCCCCCCTCCCGCCCACCAGATAAGGCCTAGCAGCGCCTCCTCCACCAGCACGAGCGCTGGATCATTCTTTGAGACGTCTCAAGAAAGCTCATCAATCTACATCCTACTCCCTCCCCCCTACCCCACACTTCTCGCCCCCCTGTCACCCACCAGATGAGGTCTAGCAGTGCCTCCTCCCCCAGCACGAGCGCTGGGTCGTTCTTTGTGATATCTAAAAACAGCTCACCTTTACACTCTACTCCCTCCCCCTACCCCACACTTCTCGCCCCCCTGTCACCTACCAGATGAGGTCCAGCAGTGCCTCCTCCCCCAGCACGAGCGCCGGATCGTTCTTATCCAGCAGAGAGGCAGCGTTCTTGAGGATGAGCTTGAACGTTCACAGCTGAAGGGACGGATGGTGGGGTGGGGGGTTGGATGCAGAGACGTCTGATTTGATCCACCTCACAACTTATCCAGCAAAGGGCGCATTATCTACAGGCTCCTCACCTCCACAGCCCCCTGACCTCCACATTTCCCTCACCTTCACATGCCCTTTACCTCACTACGGCCCTCACATCTACATCCATCTTTCCTCTTCACATTCACACGCCACTTACCTTCACACCCATCTTTCCTCCTCAATTTTACATCCATTTCCTCCTCACCTCTACACTGCCCTCACTTTTACACCCATCTTTCCTCCTTATCTCTACGCCTCATTGCTCACACCTTCGCCCATACGCCCCTCACTGCCACGCTTCTCACCTCCACGCCAGGAGTAAAGCCTGGAGCGAGGCAGTCAAGGGAGGCTTCCCGCACTCCTGCCTGCACTGACGCCAGCTCAGATGGGGTGGTTGAGGCCTCTGCAGTGAAAGAGTGGAGGGGACGGAGAGAGGAGGAAAGAAGATGGTGTGATGGATGGTGGAAGAGAGGCAGTCAAGGGAGCTTCCCGCACTCCTGCCTGCACCAATGCTAGCTCAGAGGGACTATTGGAGGCCTCTGCAGTGAGTGAGTGAGGGGAGGGGAGAGAGAAAGGAGGGGAGAATGGAGAAAGAAGCGAACGCTCGCAGCAGCAAGACATGCGGAGAGGGTCGAGTTCTGTGCTTGCCTCACAAAGACCACCCACTCACGCACCTCTAGATGGACTTTGCAAGCACCAAGCCACACATATACTCAGCAAATTCGGCCTTGGCAGCTGCGAGGCGGGCAGAGGAGACCATGTGAGTTTGAGCTTCGAGTCGGCTCAGCACAACGCAGCCCCACATCGCATGTGCACCCACACCACACAGCCACACAGCTAGGTACTACTACCCACTCACCGAATTCAGCCTTGGCAGCTGCGAGGCGCGCGGACGAGACCATGAGGGGGTTGAGCAGAAACTGCATCGACTTGCGCTTCTGTGCCTTGAGCCACTCCTTGGGCCCGGCTGAACAAGGGGGAGACGGAGGCGGAAGGAAGGGGTGGGGAATGAGAAGAGTCAGCGAGAGGTATTTGGGGGTGTTTGAGGCATCATGAACAAAAGAAACTTGCGCTTCTGCGCGTTGAGCCACTTCCAGGGGGCGCAGATTGTCCTTGCGCTTTCCCGCGTTGCACCACTCCTTGGAGCCAGTTCTTCTGGAAGCGGGCAGGGAGGGCGGGGAAGGCGGAGAGGATGAAGAGAGCGGAAAGGGCGGAGAGGGCGGAGAGGGCGGAGAGAGCCGGAGAGGGCGGAAAAGGTAGAGAGGATGGAGAGGGTGGAAAATGCAAGGGTTATTAAGCGGTCTAAAGCTCATTGCTCTGGGCGGGAAGCACGCACACAAACCGAAGGCTTGTGCGCTTCCAGGAGCGGCTGTCGCGGCAATCCCTAGGCTCAGCGCCACAGCGGCGGCGGCAGCAGCAGCTGGAGCAGCGATAACTGACCGACGGCTCACACCCGTCGCCGCTGCAGCTCCCGTTTCCGCTGCTGCTGCTGCTGCTGCTACTGCGGGAGAATGCTCTTGCGAAGGATGGCTGGAATTTTCAACGGACGACCTGACCACCAGGGACCTTCTCGGAAATGCGCTTGCTCGACCAGCAGCATTGGGATTTGTCAGCGCGTGCTGCATGGGGACGCGGCATTGGCTGGTAGCTGACCCGAGGAGAGAAGATCCGGACAGGAGAGTAGCCATGGCGTCAAGAGCGTTCGTGAAATGCGGGTTCGGGAGCGCAAAACCGTGAGTATGTGACCAGTTATTGTAGAGCTCGGCAAGGAGGAAGCCTTTGAGAGAATTTCAATTCAGGGGGGGGGACAAGGGTAGTGAACATTTGAGAGGTAGTTTACCTTTCAATACCTCGAAGGAACGGTCATTCGAAACGTTTCAGACCTGAAACCTCCAATACCGTCACTGTACCATCAAATCTAACGTTGTTTACCAGCATTTGAACCGCAGGGTTGAGGATTTGGACAAGAATTTGGTGCTGCTTGCTCGGGATTTCCATGAGCCCTCGTCTGTGCTGCAAACCACGCCAGACACGATAGGAGTGCAAATCAATCTTTGCTACAAGCAGTGGGACGATCAGAATGCTGAGCAGCGCCGCGTGTGCCTTTCACGTCGTGTCGTCGTTGAGTTCAAAGCAACCATCCCAGCGCCGTCAGTAGCATGCAATCGGTACGCGCGCTCGCCCTTCCCCTTGCGCCTTTTCTCATTGCTAGTCCGCGCAAATTGAAGCATCTGCGCATCTTCTAAGAATCGATCATATCTCCGCAATTACCCTGCGATCGATGACCTTTCTACCCAGAAAGCCCCCTCGCTCGCCGCGAGTTTTTTTATTGATTTTGCATGCGGCGCACACGCAGTGCCTCTCTCCCCACACGCACAATCATTCGCACCCTGACCTTCACACGTATCCCCTCACCCACAGTCGCTCACTCTCTCCACACTCGCGCACACCCTGCTGCCCACTTGCAAGCTATCTACTCCGCGCGGAGTAGGCGGTTTAAGCAAACAACGCGGAGCGCTGCCTACTCCACACAAGATCACACTGACATTTCGCAATCGTACTTCCCCTTCCCCTCACCTCCCCTTTTTGCCCGCCTTTTTCCCTCACCCAATCCCTTCGCGTCTCCCATGCTTTCCCCCACAATCGCCCACTCTCTCTGCCACTCAGCCCCTCGTCTCCCTCCTCTCTTTCCCCCTTTTCGTCTTCCCTCCCTATCTCATTCCAGGCCAAATTGCTGACGAGGCCGTGGATCGTCCACGTGGCAGAATCTGCAAGCTCGACACTCGCCCATCTCACCATCCATTCCTCCCACCTCCTCCAACCAACCCTCAGGCCGTCCCCTCTCTCCACTCTATCTCGACCGTTGATCCCGATTCAAGCCCAGATCTCACCGTCCATCAGCCCAATCCGCCACATCAGCTGCTACAGTCTGCTGCGTCAATCCCAAGGCTTGCATCTGCTGAGCTCTGGGATGGATCCCTTGGCGTGTAGGGGGGTCAGTCCTTCGCCTGTGACTTGCATCCGCCATACCACCACCTCTGCGAGCATGAAAAGCACGAGCACTAGCATGAGCATTAGCAGAGGGATTAGCAGCGGCGCTGGATCAGGAGGCCATGTTAACAGCATTCAGTCACCCGCATATGCGGGTAGAATTTTCCACCGCCACCAAGAGCACACAAGTAGTGTCCCCCAACAGCATCAGTCATCAGCAAGGGTTCAGGGTTTTAGGTTCGCCACTACCAGGCTTCAAAACACAGGGTTTAGCAGGAGAGGAGACAGCGGTGGGTGGATAAACCCACCAGCAGCAGCACTCGGGCCGACAGGCAACCGGGCTTTAGCTGCTGCAGCTGGTTCTGATAAACCCTTGCTGACCCGCAAGCTGACGTCTTTCTCTTTCTCCAGCAGTTCTCGCTCTCCCAAAGACTTGGATTCAGAGAGGGATGGGCAGGGGCAGGGGAAGCAGCAGGGACAGGGGCAGGGGGAGAGGCAGGTTCAGGTGCAGGCAGTGAGGGGTACGGAGGGGATGGGGGAAGAGGGGCAGGGTGGTGGAAAGAAGCGGCAGGAGCAGAGGAGAGCAGTTGTGAGTGGTGCTGGAAGGGGGAAGGAGGTGGGGGGTGTGGAGGGAGGAGAGGGAGAGGAGGAGGTGGAGAGCGGGAGTGCAGGAGAAAGTGGGGGAGAGAGTGGGCTTGAGAGTGGGATCGAGAGTGGGCTTGAGAGTGGGATCGAGAGCGGGAGTGAGAGCGGGAACGAGAGCGGGAGTGAAGGAGCGAGTGGGAGAGGGGCAGGGAGCGGTGGCAACGGGGCAGTGGTGGCATTGAGAGCAGGCAAGGTGGAGGAGGTGGAGTTGCATGAGGAGGCGGTGCAGTCGTATGTGTCGTATGCCATGTCCGTCATTGTCGGACGTGCTCTCCCCGATGCTAGGGATGGGCTGAAACCAGTGCACCGGCGAATCCTGTGAGTGTGCCTTTCTGGGGCAGTGCGTTTTGTTACTCTTTTCGTGCGTTTTGTTACTCTGAGTGTGTCTTTTCTTCTTTCTCCTGCACGAGCTGGGACTCCTGGTGTCATGCTGGCGTCATTCTGGCGAAACCTGATGCTAGCCTTCCTATCATGCTGTCCGCGTGAACCCACCACCGTCTCCCCTCCCTCTCCCTCAGCTATGACATGCACGAACCAATCCCATGCGTAAATTCCCACCACTGTCAACCCTGACCCGCACCACCATCCCCCATCCCTTCCTCTTCCCCAGTTACGCCATGCATGAGTTGGGCCTGGCGTCATCCAAGCCTTTCCGCAAGTCAGCTAGAGTCGTGGGAGAGGTACGTTGCCTTTGTCACCCTCTCTGTCTGCCTGTATGCCTCCTCCTCTGCCTGCTGCTCCTGCTTTCGCGCTGCCACCCACTTTACGTGCTTCTATAAGATTCTCCACTTCTTGCTTATCAATCCTTCTTTCTTCCTCCATTTCTCCACTTCTTGCTTGTCAATCCTTTTCCCGAATTTCCCAGTCTTGTCTCAATAGGCATGCTTACCCACTTTCCCTGCCCACCATCATTGCCTAGTGTCTGGGCTTTTTTTTCAGTGGGGGGGGTGCTAGCCTGCTAGGGTGGTTCCACCCAGTACCCGCATGACGGCACACACGACACTCTAGTGCGCATGCCACAAGAATTTCCCCTGCGTCAACAGTCCCGTTGTGTCTTTGCGTCTCATCGTTTTCTCGCCCTCCTCCTCCCCATCACATCCCACAGGTGCTAGGTCGCTTCCACCCACACGGTGACACGGCAATCTACAATGCTCTAGTGCGCATGGCTCAGGACTTCTCTCTGCGTGCTGAGCCGCTCTCCTTGTGTGCTCTCTCTTAACAACCATCCAACAGGAGCTAGGTCGCTTCCACCCACACGGTGACACGGCGGTCTACGATGCTCTAGTGCGCATGGCGCAGGACTTCTCTCTGCGTGCTCCACTCGTGCATCTGACCCCCTCCCTCCTCCCATTCACAACCATTCCACAGGTGCTAGGCCGCTTCCATCCACACGGCGATACAGCAGTGTATGGCGCTCTAGTGCGCATGGCACAGGACTTCTCACTCCGTTCTCCCCTCGTGCATACGACCCCCTCCCTGATCCCGTTCACATCACATCCCACAGGTGTTGGGCCGATTCCACCCACATGGTGACACGGCAGTCTACGATGCCCTAGTGCGCATGGCACAGGACTTCTCACTCCGCGCCCCACTTGTGAACGGGCACGGCAACTTTGGGTCCATCGATGCCGACCCTGCTGCTGCCATGCGCTACACCGAGTGCCGCCTGCAGGTACCTTCTGTCTCCTAGTCTTCCCCAATCTGCACAGGTACCCCTCTCTATCTGCTGGAACCCCTTCATCTGCTGCTGCCATGCGCTACACCGAGTTCCGCCTGCAGGTACCTTCTGTCTCCTAGTCTTCCCCAATCTGCACAGGTACCCCTCTCTATCTGCTGGAACCCCTTCATCTGCTGCTACCATGCGCTACACCGAGTGCCGCCTGCAGGTACCTTCTAGTATCCCCACAGAAGCAGGTAACCCCCTATTCGCTGGCAACCCTTTACCTGCTGCTGCCTGGAACCAATGACCAATTCCCCTTTCACTCGTGCACGGGCACGGCAACTTTAGCTTCGTGGATGCTGACCCTGCTGCTCCTGCCATGCGCTGCACCGAGTGCGATGACTTTTGAGTCGCCTCAGAAGTCATCTTTAGGTTCGTGGATGCTGACGCTGCTGCTGCTGCCATGCGCTGCACCGAGTGCCGCCTGCAGGTAGCACTCGATGAGCAGGTAATGTATCACAAAGGGCTGAGCAGGACCACCCCTCTAGTCTCAGCAAGTTAGCTTCTCTGATCTCCCACTCTCACTCCCACCCCCACTCCCCATACCCACCCTCGCATCCCTCACCCCACACTCTCCCCCTCTGCTCCCCCTTCCTCCTCTCTGCCAGCCCCTCACGGAGAAGATGCTTTTGGAAGACATTCGCAATGACACGGTCAGTTGGGGGTTGGGAATCAGTCAGGGTTAAGGGCCATTGTCACTTGTGGCCATTCTCAGTTGGTTTTGGGTCAACAAAAAAACCGCTTCAGTTGGGGGTTGGGAATCAGTCAGGGCTAAGAACCATTGTCACGTGTGGCAAAACCTAGTTGGAATGGAATTTCATCACATCCTATCGCATCACATCGCATCTCGTCACACCACACTCCACCTCATAATCTCGATATCTTTACCCCTCCACTTCCCCCTTCTCAGGTTGACTTTGCACCCAACTTCGATGCATCCACCAACGAGCCAACAGTGCTGCCAGCTCGGATCCCTGTGCTTCTTCTCAACGGCTCTCAAGGGATCGCGGTATGTATGCTGCGGGTTTTGAGACGTCTCAAAAGTCAAGGGATCGCGGTATGTATGCTTTTGAGACTTGTCAAAAACAACCTTGCTACACGGGTCTGCCTTTTCTGTTGCCTCCAGGTGGGCATGGCGACCAACATCCCCCCGCACAACTTGACCGAGCTCGTGGATGCGCTCTCAGCCTTCATTGACAACCCCGCCGCACCCTCCCCATCCACTCCTGTAACCCCTTATGTACCCCCTGCACCCCGCTACACCCCGTTGCTCCCCTCCAGGTGGGCATGGCGACCAACATCCCCCCGCACAACTTGACCGAGCTCGTGGATGCGCTCTCAGCCTTCATTGACAACCCCGCCGCACCCTCCCCATCCACTCCTGTAACCCCTTATGTACCCCCTGCACCCCGCTACACCCCGTTGCTCCCCTCCAGGTGGGCATGGCGACCAACATCCCCCCGCACAACTTGACCGAGCTCGTGGATGCGCTCTCAGCCTTCATTGACAACCCCGCCGCACCCTCCCCATCCACTCCTGTAACCCCTTATGTACCCCCTGCACCCCGCTACACCCCGTTGCTCCCCTCCAGGTGGGCATGGCGACCAACATCCCCCCGCACAACTTGACCGAGCTCGTGGATGCGCTCTCAGCCTTCATTGACAACCCCGCCGCACCCTCCCCATCCACTCCTGTAACCCCTTATGTACCCCCTGCACCCCGCTACACCCCGTTGCTCCCCTCCAGGTGGGCATGGCGACCAACATCCCCCCGCACAACTTGACCGAGCTCGTGGATGCGCTCTCAGCCTTCATTGACAACCCCGCCGCACCCTCCCCATCCACTCCTGTAACCCCTTATGTACCCCCTGCACCCCGCTACACCCCGTTGCTCCCCTCCAGGTGGGCATGGCGACCAACATCCCCCCGCACAACTTGACCGAGCTCGTGGATGCGCTCTCAGCCTTCATTGACAACCCCGCCGCACCCTCCCCATCCACTCCTGTAACCCCTTATGTACCCCCTGCACCCCGCTACACCCCGTTGCTCCCCTTCAGGTGGGCATGGCGACCAACATCCCCCCGCACAACTTGACCGAGCTCGTGGATGCGCTCTCAGCCTTCATTGACAACCCCGCCGCACCCTCCCCATCCACTCCTGTAACCCCTTATGTACCCCCTGCACCCCGCTACACCCCGTTGCTCCCCTCCAGGTGGGCATGGCGACCAACATCCCCCCGCACAACTTGACCGAGCTCGTGGATGCGCTCTCAGCCTTCATTGACAACCCCGCCGCACCCTCCCCATCCACTCCTGTAACCCCTTATGTACCCCCTGCACCCCGCTACACCCCGTTGCTCCCCTCCAGGTGGGCATGGCGACCAACATCCCCCCGCACAACTTGACCGAGCTCGTGGATGCGCTCTCAGCCTTCATTGACAACCCCGCCGCACCCTCCCCATCCACTCCCCTTATGTACCCCCTGCACCCCGCTACACCCCGTTGCTCCCCTCCAGGTGGGCATGGCGACCAACATCCCCCCGCACAACTTGACCGAGCTCGTGGATGCGCTCTCAGCCTTCATTGACAACCCCGCCGCACCCTCCCCATCCACTCCTGTAACCCCTTATGTACCCCCTGCACCCCGCTACACCCCGTTGCTCCCCTCCAGGTGGGCATGGCGACCAACATCCCCCCGCACAACTTGACCGAGCTTGTGGACGCGCTCTCAGCCTTCATTGACAACCCCGCCATCACCACAGACGAGCTCATGCAGATCTGCCAAGGACCAGACTTCCCCACTGGAGGGGTCATTCTCGGCACATCGGGGTACGTATGCTGCAGGAGTAACGCAGATGGGGGTATTTGAGGAGGGAAGGTGGGTAGGTAGGGGTGTTAGTTGCTAACGACCCCACCATCAGCACCACAGAGGAGCTCATGCGCTCATCTGTCAAGTCAAGGACCGGATTTCTGAGGCTCCTCAAAAACCATCAGCACCACAGAGGAGCTCATGCGCTCATCTGTCAAGTCAAGGACCGGATTTCTGAGGCGCCAAAAAAACCATCAGCACCACAGAGGAGCTCATGCGCTCATCTGTCAAGTCAAGGACCGGATTTCTGAGGCGCCTCAAAAACCATCAGCACCACAGAGGAGCTCATGCGCTCATCTGTCAAGTCATGCATGGAAACGGTTTTGCTTTAGGAGTATCGGAGATGGGGGTGCTTGAGGAGAGAAGGTGATGGGCGGGTTGGATTGGCAATCTTGGCATCTCCACAGACGACCTCATGCTCATCTGCCAATGCCCTGTCCAGACTTCGCCACTGGAGGGGTGATTCTGGGCACGTCAGGGTGCGTATGGGTTGGGAGCTTTGGGGAGAAAAGGTGGGTTCAAAGGTAGCATTAGATGCTGGCAATCTTGCCACCACCACAGACGACCTCATGCTCATCTGCCAGTGCCCGGAGATGACCGATGCGTATCCTAAACCCGAAACCCTAATCCCTGAACCCATTTTTCTTTTTCGTCCGTTTCATTTCCTTTCTCCCCTCCCTGCCCCCCTCGAGCAGCATGGAGGAGGCTGTCAGAATGTTATTCTCTAGCCTGTAGTGGGGTGCTCTATAGCGAGTACAACCCATCTAGGGTTTGCTATATGTATCCTCATTGCTGCTAGTGAACTCCTTTTTTTTTTGCCTAAACTTCTCTTGCCTAGCTAGGACTTACCTAGCTATGGCTCCTAACTCTACCTACTATTTTCACATGCTATCAGAGCAGGTCGATCCCCTTGGGTCGATCCTGTGGGTGGGCTCACCTCCTCACTGCTTCCGCTGCTACTGCCACTCTCTGTGTTGCACGCCCCGTGGCGTGCGACGGATTTTTCATCCCGCCGCGCGCTCGGAGCGTGCGGCGGTTTTCTGCCCGCCGTGCGCCCCGAGGCGCGCGGCGGTTTTCTGCCCGCCGTGCGCCCCGGGGCGTGCGGCGGTTCTCTGCCCGCCGTGCGCCCCGAGGCGCGCGGCGGCCTTCTGCCCCGTCGGTCCGCGCGTCGCCCCCGGGGGGCACTTCGACGGGCGACGGGGACCAGCCCGTCGTCCCCCGTCGCCCGTCCTGGCCAGCGCGGGCTGCGCCAGCCCCGAGCGCGGCCCGTACGGGCTGCGCCCGGCCTGCGCGCGGCCCGTACGGGCTGCGCCAGGCCCGCGCGCGGCCCGTACGGGCTGCGCCAGGCCCGCGCGCGGCCCGTACGGGCTGCGCCAGGCCCGCGCGCGGCTCGGGCCGCCTGCGCGCGGTTCGTCGGGCTGTGCCAGGCCCGTGGGCGGCCCGTTCCTCTCTGTCCCTGAGCTGCTCGCTGTCCCCCGTGCTTCTGACGGTGCCCCACCCCTACTGCTGCCCGTTCTCCTGAATTAGGGTTTGGGGGTGAGGAGTGTGGGGGTGGCGGTTGTGTTTTACTCCCCTTGCTCCTCCTCCTCCCTGGTCTCCCACTGCTGCAGCTGCCGCTGAGGGGGGTGGGTGTGTGGGAGCCTAGGGTTTAGGGTTTTAGGGGGGGTGCGTGGGAGTGGAGCTAGGGTTTGAGCAGTGGGTGTGTGTCGAGGGTGTGGGGCAGTTGGAGGAGGTTGTGTGGAGGTACCTGTCGTGTCGCCTGCAGCGCCTGTCGTCCGTCGCCCTTGCTTCGGTAGCCAGTGAGCCTGCTGCACCAGTCGCCAGTGGGTCCGTTGCTCCTGCCGCTCTTCTATAGCCGCCGAGCCAGTTACTCCAGTAGTCCGTCGCCCTTGCTTCGGTAGCCTCTGAGTCAGCCGCTCCTGTGCCCGTGCCTCTGCAGCTTCAGTCGTTGCCTCCCATCTTCTCTACCTCCACAGCTCCTCCTCCTCCTCACTTGCTCGTTGTGATTAGCTCTAGCTTTGCTTACCTTTGTGAACTCCTGCTCTATACCTGCTTGCTCATTGTACTGATTACACCCCACTTTGGCTATGGGGGTGTGTCAGAATGTTATTCTCTAGCCTGTAGTGGGGTGCTCTATAGCGAGTACAACCCATCTAGGGTTTGCTATATGTATCCTCATTGCTGCTAGTGAACTCCTTTTTTTTTTGCCTAAACTTCTCTTGCCTAGCTAGGACTTACCTAGCTATGGCTCCTAACTCTACCTACTATTTTCACAGAGGCGTATCGAACAGGGAGGGGGTCCATAGTGGTGTGGGGGAGGGCGTATGTGGAGGAGCTAGGCTGGGCACCTCTATAATGAATTCCCGCTTCCCTCCCTTTTCCCCCCATTCAGCATGGAGGAGGCGTATCGCACGGGAAGGGGGTCCATAGTGGTGCGGGGGAGGGCGTATGTGGAGGAGCTGGGCGGAGGAGGAGCAGGGAGCAGCAGAGGCAACCGGATTGGCATTGTGATCACAGAGGTGCGTGAGAGTGGATAGGTGGAAGTTGAGGAGTAAGGCTTTGGTGTGGAGGTAACTGGTGAACAGCACAGCAGGGTGGTGGAGGGGGTGAGTGACATCCGCGATGAGAGCGACCGGGGGGGCTCAGCTCGTGCTGACAACTTGACACCCTCTCCTCCCCCCACCCCAACCCTCTTTCAAACAGCTCCCATATCAGACAAACAAGGCCGCCCTGGTGGAGAAGATGGCAGAACTTGTAAACAGCAAGGTGGTGGAGGGGGTGAGTGACATCTGCGACGAGAGCGACCGGGGGGACTCAG